CGGAGTTTCGAAGGCTTCTTCGACGACTTTCTCAACGTCAGCCACGATTCGCGACGTCGATCGTCGTTTGTTCTTAATCGGAGTCTCCTCTTCGGTTCCTCCCGCTATTTCGTGTTCGGTAATGCTTTTGTTTCGCGTTTCGGAAGCAACCTTGCTTCGTCCTTTGTCTTTGGACTCGCTCGGAGTGCGCAATATCGATCGTTTCGACGGTGTCGAGATCGCAATAGATTTGGCTTGCTGAGACTGCGGAGTTTCGACGACTTTTTCGACGATTCGCGACGACGAAGACTTCCGCGGACTCCGAACGCGTTCGGTCGCATCTTCCGCTTCGAGTTTCGTTTCCTCCAATCTCTTCGATCGATCCGCGCTCGACGATGAAATTCGAACGCGTTGCTTCTCGAATTCGCTCGGCGTACGCGAGACCGATCCCTTCCGAACGCCGTCTTCCTTCTCTGTTTCAACGAGCGAGTCGTCCGACTCGGAATCGTCGAAGAGGAACAAGGATCTCTGTTTCATACTCGGCGCGGCGTTCTCGTCGTCGCTAGATTCGCTTGCTTCCACTATCCACGAAACCTTGTGCTCCTGCGCGTGACTCGTGCTTCCGGTTAGCCTTTTGGGCGGAGGTTCGTCGTCCTCCGTGTCGGAGTCCCGCGAGACGCGCAGTCTTTTAAATATGCTGGACCTGTTGCTTCGTCTAGACGTCGTCTCAGTTTCGCGCGGTTCTTCCTCGCGCGCGGGGGTCAAAACTGTCCGCTCGTGTTCCTGACTCGCACTCCGAGCGTGCTGCTTCGACGGAGATTCCTCCTTCTCGGAGTCGTTCGTGACGAACGATAATTTCCGAGACACGGAACTCTTGTCGCTTCGCGCAGGCGACTTCTTCTCGTTAGCGACGATCGGCGAGATCGTTTGCTCTCGCGCCTGGCTATTTCTGGCGCTCCTCGACGACGTTTCAGCTTGCGCCTCGGATCCTCTCGCGAGCAGTGACGCGTTCGATCCTCTTTCCTGCTCGACATCCTCGGCCTGCTCGTCCTCTTTCGCTTGCGCTTTACTCGCAACTTTGCTCTGCCTCCTCGGAGTCTGCGCGCCTTCGGATTCGCTGGCGACTCGCGATCGTCTTTTAATCGAATGGGACCTCCTGCGCGGACTCGGCGCGGCGCTCTCAGTTTTCTGCGACTTGTCGATCGGGACGAGCGAAATTCTCAGCTCCCGCGTTTTGCTCACGCTCCTGTCCCACTTCGTCGGAGTCTGAGCGCTTTCAATCGCTTCGCTCGCGTCCCTCGGCGCCGACCTGCTCATCGAGCTGTGCCTCTTGCTCCGTCTCGGCGAGGCGTCCTCGATTTCCTTCAGCTCCTTGGAAGCATTCGGAGCCGTTTGCTTCTCAGTTCGACTGCTACTTCTGCCTCGGCCCTTTGGCGTTTGAGCTCTTTCCGTTTCGTCAGCGACGCGCGATGTAGATTGCTTCTCAACCTCG